GAGGCTGTGAAAATGACTAACACTATCAGTAACAACAGTGAACATTCAACAAGGTCAAGACTACTGCATAAGCAACCCAATTTATAAATAGAAAATGGAAGAAATAATCCAAAGATTTGTTAGAAATAATACACATAGCAGGATTATAATAACATGATATTAAAATGATACTAAAATAGAATCAACAGGGACAGATAAATGCATAATAACTTGAAATTATAATCAAAATGAATTCCAACAAAAGGCAAATCTTGCTCAAGGGCACCTCAATGGCAGTTTCTGAGGCAGTGGAGACACAAACATGCACATCCAAACATTATAACTCATTATATTTTATTTTTTCAAAGCACTGGTACACAGCGGCAGAAGGCCAGGGAGGCGGAACTAAGCAGAGTATCATACTGTGTATGATGGTGCTTTGTAATTAAAGCTAAATGATACCAGAATGGTCGAATAGTGAGAAATACACAAATAATGAATAACTATTGTGTAATCAAAATCAATAAAGGAACAAATGAGAGCTGTAGGAGAGCTTTAATCCAAACTTCTGCCCAAATAAGGTGCTTTAATGAAAAAGGTCTCCAGGGACACGTGATGGTTTAATTACAGTCATCATGATCAACAATTTATTTCTTTTTTTGGTCTCAGATAACTGTCAACAAAAATACATATACACAAAAATACAATATATGTAAAACAGCATACATACACCCACCTCATCGACACTTACAACGATAAACATACACATCAACACACTAAAAATCATACCTACACACACAGCAAAGCCTACGCTCTGGTTCTAATTACTGCATCTACACACCATGCATTCCCCATTACACGCATATGAACACCGTATCATGTCGGATCATATTATATGATAGAATAACAATAGGTAACAGGAATCAATTCACAAGATTAACTGTCAGAGGTAGTAATCATTCACCGCCCTCTCATTCATAAAAAAGCACACTCACTGTTTCATGTCTCAACCAGTAATATCTCATAGAGATTAATACAGATCAGCTCTTTTAATTAGCCATCCCGTCCACACAATTGCTGATAAAAGCCTGTGATCTGTTGTATGCTGACAGCAGTCTGCATATAGTGTACGTGTCTGTTGGGGTGTGTGTGTGTGTGTGTGTGTGTGTGTGTGTGTGTGTGTGTGTGTGTGTGTGTGTGTGTGTCTTCCCTGTAGTAAAAAAATGTCAGCTTCACTCCCACCTGCAGTCTTCATTGCTGTTTCATTAGGGAGGTAACACGGAGGAAGTGCATTGAATCAACCCAGCTTCGTGTGTGTGTGTGTGTGTGTATGTATGTGTGTGTGTGTGTGTGTGTGTGTGTTCTGCCCATGTTCATACAGGCCTGTGCATTTATGCATGTGTGTACATCAATACACTTGTATATATTTGTGCCTGCCGCATCATAATCTGAGCTTTTAGGCACCTCTTTGTTACCAGTATTATCACTTTGAAGATGGCAGAAGCGTGTATATGTGTAAGAGGATATGAATGTGGAAGAGTGTGTGTTTGTATCTGTGATTCAATGTGTATGTAAAAGCTATATCATAATCTGGTTTCTAAAGCACCACTTTCTATGTTTACCATGACGTCACTTTGATGGGTTTTTCCTTCAGGGCAAGAAAAAGGAAACTGTACCACACATGGTTATGTGCCAAAGCGCATGGAAATAAGCAGTCGTTTAGAGCCACCTCCATCTCACCACCTCAAACAACACCATCCTGATGGATGACAACAGGCCTGGAAAATAACTTCTTTGCCTCGAGGCTACAGTGGCTGGCACATCCCAAAATTCATCAAACGCCTTCAGTATTTCATCAGCATTTCTGAAGTGCACCACAGGAGCACGAATCCCTGAGCAATCCGTTCAAGAAATATCTAAAAGATGTTTCCACAGCATCAATACCATGTATGTGCTTATATTCACCAGTATCCACCAGTTAACCTGTCGCTGTACCCCTTTTCCCAAACAATAATTGTCCATAACTACATAAGGCAGGTCTGTCAAGTTTTTGATCTTTCAACATAAGCATTGTGCACGTGGTTGCAGAGTATTGCTCTTACTATATAATCAGGAGTCTTGTTTTAGCCAGCCAGCCCACCAGCTAAAGTGTATGGAATAAATTAAACATTGTTCTAATGTGAGCTGAAATTTTTGGGATGTCCGATTATAGTAACTACTCTACTTCCATGGCCAAGGAGCATGTCATTAAGTAGCAATAACTAGCTGTGGAGTTTCAGGTTACGCTAAAAGAAAGTTGACAACTAGCTTATCCAGTGTGTGGGTTTTACAGTTTACAATTAGTTACTCAAGCCAACATTACCCAAGATAGCATTACATTCATCAAACACAACACTTGTCAAACATCATCATCATCCTAAATGCTCTCTCTGGCGTTGCACGGTGACTAAAGGCTCTTATACACTCGCCGTTCCCGACCTGTAGCGCGACAATGTGACGTCATGGGAGCGCCGTAACTATTTATACTTGCGCGTGGTGGTTGCGACACTAGTTGCAGTCTTCTCCTGAACAGAGGTGTCGCAGCTACCGACTTTGCTATTTCTACGCACTAGAAGAAGAAGAAAAAGGTAAACAATGGCAGACCTCTTTTTTGATTTTCCAAATCGGTCGCGGAGGTTCTTCCAAATTTTCCGGCATATGGCCTCCTCTTTTCCAACATTCATGGCGATTTCTCACCATGAATTCTGGCACCTCTGGGCATCTCTGAGTTCCTTCATTTAAGGATTGTACAAATGCCTGTAGAGGCGCACTTGCTCGGAAAGCTTGCCCTCGAACTCGTCCATCTTCCTGTTTCCGCTTTGGTGCACTCAGCTGAAAAAAAGCTGTTGTCGCGCAACGGCGAGTGTATTAGTGATGGGTCGGTCGCCAACGATCCGGCTCTAAGAGCCGGCTCTTTGAAGTGAACGACGGGAGCCGGCTCCTGATTGGGAGCCAGATCCGGATTTTTTTTCCAGATTTTCCCTATTTTTCCTGTTAAAGCCGAGTGATTGGTCAAGATGTGTGGCGGCATCTGTGTATCTACACTGAGCAGGAGGGGGAGGGAGGGGTTACAGACACACACGGCACAGTGAGCACGTGAACAGGTAGGAGGGAGACTTGAGAGCGAGAGACCATGGCGCTACATAGACAGAGACTACACACTGGAAAGGGTGAGGAAAATGAGAAACCTAGTAAAGTTTGGACACATTTTAATGTGATAGTTCAAAGGCAGAGTGTAGACTGTGCAAAGTTAAACATTTCATATCAAGCAGCTTTTTGTCTAATTAAGAATTAAATTAAGTCTTTTGTTCTTGTGTTTTATAATTTTTTTTGTAGCACTGTTCCATGTTGAGTGTATTAATAAATCCATATAAATACTAAACATTTGATATAATGCATGTATTTACATTAGATATTCATTTTACACATAATTTGGTAATAAATTAATGTAAGCAAAAAAAAAATATGAGGAGCCACTTGGGAGCCGAAAGAGCCGGCTCTTTTTAGTGAGCCGAGCCAAAGGAGCCGGTTCTCTAAAAAGAGCCGGAATTCCCATCACTAGAGTGTATAAGAGCCTTAGGGGAGGTGGGGCTTAGCAAATGGTCATGGTATGACTGTAGTTTGATTCCCAAAAAAGGAAAAGATAGATCCTGTACCAAACATATTCTACAAAGACACTAAGTTAAAAGTTTTAAAAACACCCGATGAAAACTTTTAACTGTCTTGTGCTCTAAATTAGAAAGCTTTAAGCTGTTGTGTCATCAGTTTCGTTTCTCTCTATTCCCACATTTGGGTTATCTGTTGCTGCCGACGCTGTCCATCAGTCAAGGCTTAGACATGGCTAACAGCTAGCTAAGTGGTGCTAATTGAGCCAGGGTCCTGCAATAATAGTTTTTTCCAACGGGAAGTCATTCATCAGCACTGTTCTCCACCAGCAGAGAGAGGGAGAGAGACAAGAGAAAAAGGGAGGAGATGAGGGACACTTCAGTCACTCCAACACAAGGTTGGAGAAAGAGATTGATGGATAGACAGATGAGGTGAAATGGGAGAGAGAGAAAAATTAAATGAAGACAAACAGAGACATATAAAGAAAAGAGGGGTGATAAACCTTTCGCATCCATGTTTAAGAGTAAAATAGCTTTTCATTCAGCTATGGCTAAAACAGTTTCCAGCAATGCAATACACCATTAGTGGTCACAAGTAAATGATTCCTGTTTTTTGTAACTTGAATGTAGCATTGTTTAGTTTACCTAGTATGATCACTTCACTTAAAGAACTGCTGCAAACTGCACTGAAATACAACAATCAACATTTCAAAAAAACAGTTATTTAACTATTCGGCTTGAGTGAGCTTCCTTTTCAAGCTGTCAATCACAGAATAGGCATTTTTCATATTGTGCATATCTCAAATTTGGAGTAAAAATCTTTGACTGTAGTCCTCAGAGCTTGCTTTGAGCTGTGAGTCAAACCAGTATTTCCTGCGTGAGGCTACTTTATATCATTTAATTTGTTTTCCTCACCTGCATTGTGTTGTTTTCGTACCATTACCTTTTCACATCTGTTATTCTATGGATTATAGGTTTGAGTTCAAAGGTCAAATCTATTGACTGTCTCTTAGTCAATAAACAGAAGGACAGTCTTGTCATGTTACACTGTCAGTGCAATTACATTGGCTATAGTGTTCAAAAGCATACATTCAACTTAAGACCATAATCAATCTAAATTAAAAAAAACATTCAAATTTGGTCCCTAGAAACCCAAATCCACAGATTATACACAAATCCTAAATATTTAATTTGTTCTTTGTTGCAGACACAGTCACTGTAAAAACACTCACTGCCAAAATTAAGGGTATTAACAGTTTTATGGAGAATAATCGCCAGTCTCTTCAGACATTATACGCACCCCCAAATACTCTGTACAAAAGAAATAAGCTACCCAGGTGCTGACAGAAAAAAAAGGAGTCTGAGATTCAGTCCTACCTCTCTGCTGTGGAGTAGGCCTTTCTCTGACACATCACCGCCAACGAACTGCTTCCCAGTGCCATTTCCTGTTTGATCTCCCAAGCGACGAGGTTGCTGGGTTTAACAGCCAGGAAGTTGATGCCTGACTGGAACCACACCCTGCAGAGCGCAATGAAGAAAGGAACGAAGAGAGAGAGAGAGAGAGAGAAGAGAAAGTGAAGTTAATCTTAAGTTCACACAAGCACATCATAAACAAAGGAGGAAAAAGAAAGCTGAGTTGTCACAGTGACAGTTAGGGGGAATTTGCTTAAAACCGAATTTGCCTCGCTTGGAATAACCCTGCCCCGATTTTCTCGCTGATTTTCTTTAATCCCTGATACGTGCGATACTCTCTTTGTATAAAATGCCTTTTAAAATTGATTCACGCAGCATGGTGCCACCTCCCACAGTATGTTTTGATGGGAGAAGACAAAGGAGTGACAGAAAGTTAACATTTTACCAGAATAAGTGCTGCGTGGTGGAGAAATCAGATGTAAACTGAGTGGGAGATTATATCTAATACACAAAATGTGATTTCTCTAATGAAAATGGTCAATTTCTTAGTGATATGGTCTGTTAATTCTGCTCTCTTTCTTCCTCTCATCAGCACCTCCTTCACCCCTTTTTCCTTTTAAATATTTATTCTTCTTTCCCTTACTCTATCTCTCTCTCCTCAGTATTTTGCACAAACTGACATTAAATCTTCTTCCTGTCACTCACTTTTTTGCCATCCCTCATTCCTAATTTCCCTTTCTCCTCTCTCCAGTTAGATTAACAACATTCATCTTTGCCTTCCTCATCCCCTCTTCATTATCTACTGTCTCTTCCAGACCTCTCTTCCTTGTTTATCCGCTCTTTTCCTAACCTCCTCTCCTTTTTCACACAGGTTTTCCTTTATTTTGGATGATTTCCTCCTCCATTTCTCTTGGCTCCAACTCTCCCTATATTTCCTTCAGTTTTCTATTAGATGTCACACCCCTTGCTTTCCTTCCCATCTTCCATATTCTTGCCCTCCTTCCCTTCCAGATGTCCTCTTTCTTTCCCTTCCTCGACATTCCCTCGTCGCTCTCTCTCCTTTTTTTTCTTACCAGGTCTCCTCTTTCATCTCTTTCCCTCACCTCTTCCTAAAACTTTTTTCTTCCTTTCATCCATCCCTCTGCGATTTCCTTCCATTCCTTCCTCCCTCTCTTTCTTCCCTATATACCTTACTTCATCCCTCCCTAAGCCCCTCCTCCATCCTTCAATCTCAAGGCATTCTATGGTTAATCTCTTTATTTTCTTTCTCTCCCTCTCCCTCTCTAATCCGTCCCGGTGTGTTTTGTTCTATTTATCACCTTGACGAGACCCTCCCTCAGTTTATTAACACACTTTATAGGTTCATGCACACACGCACGCAAGCTTGTTTACTGCGTTTCTTATTAACACACATACAATAGTCTCTGCCAAACAACTATGCAAATACAAACACAGACGTACTCTCTAATAAACTTTTTCCCCTACACAAAAGAGGGTGGAAAAAAACTGCCAATCCTCTTTGTCTCCTTTCTCATTATTACTTTCTTGTATTTGTCTCGCTTCATGTCTTGCCAAAACGCTGCCTGCAAATATGTCAAGGCGGTCCCGTGCCATGCATTCTGTATGTTTGTGAGTGTTTATGTATATATGCACCTGTGTGTACGTGTGTGCGTCTGCTGTATTATAATCTAAACAAGAAGCTTTTTCGTGTTTGGCACAAGGGAACGTCCCTGAAAACTTGAAAACCAACTTCTTTCTGTTTCACTCTGAACTAATTTTTCTTGGTATATATAAGGAGGAAAAAATGCTCCCTGGTTGACCGTTGTTGTGTTGTTTTTGTGCTATGGTTAGGGGAAAATGAGGGGAAAGGCAGTGTGAAGATTCAAAAAAGTACTGTTTTGCAAGTAAGGCTCTGTGCATGTTATTTGAGTCTGGTGTGTGCTCATGTTCCCAAGTAAAATACCACGTTTGTGTGTGTGCAGTAGTACAGCATAAAATAACGGGTGGTCCCCTAAAAACTCCTCTTTTATTATTCAGCAGCTGAATGTTACATAAAATTAATTCTCTAGAAAACTCCCATCCATTGTTCTGCTTCCTCTGTTTCTTTCTCTTTCTCTCATCCTATTCTCCATGTCTTTCCTGCTCCTCAACCAGAAGAAGATAATCCACTTCAAAGGAAACGCAAAGCAATGAGTTAGGAGAGGAAAAAAAAAAACCCCCCCCAAAAAAAAACCAAACCAGCTGATATAATATGAATTAAAGAATGACAATTAAGAAAAGATATGTATGCCTGAGCACTGGCTGAGAAATATTCAACTCAAGAGACATTTAGATGACTAGGTTGCGGCAAAGACAAATCATAAATAAAACATACTGGAAAGGTAAAAATAATGATAATTATAAAACACCTCCATGAAAAATCCTTCAGGTGAGAGCACAAACCTTGCTCTGGTTAATGTAATATCAAATAATACACTTTCTTGACCAAAGTCTTAAAATTCAGGAGATACATTCCTATAGTACAACAAGACCAGAACCCAAGTTGTGACAGGTGTAAAACTGCAATCCACATTAGCTCAAAGCAACAACTATTACAGAAAGTAGAGGCCTGTCAGCGAACATTTCAAGACTGACTGCCAATAATTACTACGGGCATAGTCTGAAGAGTGACAACCACTGCCAACAATCTATCTCAAACCCGGCAGAACATACCTATTTTCTGTGCAATTGTAGGGTATTTAAATTGGACCCTTTCAGAAAAGTATAAATAACAGTGGACGAGACAATAACATTGGGGCGTTTCCTTCAGATGTCACCCGTGCTTCTTTCTTGCAGCGTCACTGCAAGTTTCATCCAACGCTTAATAAACCCTGCATTTTCCTCACAAGCTTTGCTGTGAGGGGGTCATATAAAATAACTATGCTTAATGTGGAAGGAGTTGGTCGCTGAGATGAACCTCCAGAGCCTTATAACTGGACTCCAGTCACTGCAGCTCCCCTCAACTCTACGGAGCATTTTAGTGTCTTTCAGCTCATTATTTTGGTTTTATTGCCTGCAACTTTACTGTTTCAGTTAACTCTCACTGCTCTCATCAACCTCGTTTCCAGCCAAGGCAGGCAGCTGTTTTCAGCAAAATGCTGCACAAAACAGCAGACAGAAGAGGTTAGTGACTAGCTGAGCATAGTGGAGCAATTAGCAGCTAAAGAGCCAGATATTTTTCTCAGGAGTTGGTGGAGACTAAACAGTACTAGAAGGAGCCTAATTGATTCAATGTTGGATTTGCAGAAACACAATTTCAAGGTAATCCTCATGTGTCTGTTGGATGTGTTGCACCTGTTCGCAGGTAGGCATCAGCGATTATAACTTTACAGAGCCATACTATGCCGAACATGTCTGCTATTGTGGAAAACTAGTTAATGCTGCTTTAACCACGACCACAAGTTTTCTATACTAGGTTCAAGTAGATTTACTTGCCTAGATGAAGGCAAAAACACAATGACCTACTGTATAAGAAGTTTTGTACAATATGTATCTTTTCAAACTTCTTTGGCCAGCGTAAATGCAAACACAAGTAACTTTTTTGCTTGCTTGCTTTGCTAAAACAGAGATTTATCACCAAGATGAAAGACTTTTCTTTGGCATTCTGTAAACAATCTTAGATCCCTGTAAATTTATCACAATATGCTGAGATGGGTTTAAAACCCTGAAGTCAAAAACAAGTGTTCAAATGTTGGTTCAGTCAGAAGAATACAGAGTGAAAATAGATTGGGGCTTTCAATCACAAGTGAGTCTGTGGCTTTTAGCGGTTGTCAGTTTACCCCTAAAATTCAAAGATGATGTTTGAATGAAAAGGTTGATTGATTTTGCATGCCTGGATGATGAACACACACACACACACACACACACACACACACACACACACAGAGTCATATATAAGAAAACACAGCGACACTGTTGTCCCATGGTGTGTCTGTCAGGACGTCGGTGTGTGTGCATGTCTGTCAACAAGCAGGATGATGGACAAGGCTGCGTCCCTAAGCTGCTTCTGTCAGATTCATGTACAGCAACAGAGCCTGACAAGTGTCTGTGTGTCTTTCTTTTTCTGTCTGTCTGGTAATGCAAGAAGACAAGCAAAACTTCTCCCTATACTCTCTCTCACACTTAGCCTTATTCATCTTCAGGTTTTTAATCAACCTTTGTTTGATTTTTAATGTCAGTGATGCTGCCCTGTCTTCAAATTGGACGACTGATTGTTTCATAAACTTTCCTTCCGAAATAAAAAGAGTGCCTTATTTACACAATAAATCTATGAGTCTCCTAGAATTTCAGTGAAATACGCTTAAAACGTTATTTACACCAGGGACATTAACTGGCCAGCTATTTCTCACTTGTTCCCTGGGTGACACTCATACATTACACACTTTCACAGCTACAGTCTGCTCCTGCTGGTCATTGAGTAACTCACGGAGCATTACAATTGATTTTCTTTTCCTTTTTTTCTGGAGCAGTGCCTTGTTTATAGGCACTTCAACACTAGTTTTCCAAGTGGAAAAATAAAGAGTCAGTGGAGGAAAAGAGCAACAGGGCATCGTGCCAAAAAGCTACGCTGTGAATAAAGTATTCCTTAGCTCTTTTAAATCACAATTGCAAGTTGAAATGCAAAATGTGCTGCTGTCATTGTCTTTCTATCTTCTTTTTATTTTTGACTGATTTTTTTATATGCCCCAGAGCGTCCCTTTACCTCACTTATGCAGATTGCACCTCTGCTGCATTTTGGCTTTTTTTTCAAGAGACGTTCTGAAAAGACTCCATCTTTAGCTGCTGGGTGATTATGGTAAGAGACACTGTTTGTCAAAGAATGGCAATTTGTGGAAGAGATGTGGAATAGGTCTCATCAATTTAAGGGAAAATAACCACAATTTTAAAAAATGCCTGCCAATCTCCTTGTAAGAATTACCAAATACATAGTTAACCCACATCTTTATTGACCTTATTTATCACCAAAAAACTAAAGCTGACAAAACAAAGCAAACAGTTGAATGGAGAGGATGAACGAGAGGAATGTGAATGAAGCAATGCATATTTATAGCTTAGCCTTTCCACAC